ACTAGAATTGAAAACTAGTAGCCAGGACTTGTGGTACATCTTTATAATCCCAGCACTCCAGGAGGCTGAGGCAGGAGGATCAGAAGTTTGAGCCTGGCCTGGGCAACTTAGAGACTTAGTGAGATCCTGTCTCAAAATAAAAAATAAAAAAGGGCTGGGGATGTAGCTTAGTAGGAAGTCCTTGGAGTTCAATCCCCAGCACCACAAAAAAAAAAAAAAAAAAAAAAAAAACCAAACAAAAAAGAATTGAAAATTAGTTTTTCTCTTGTTTCTGGTGCTCTTCCACACAAATTTATTATTGCTATAGAATCTAAAAGTGGTTCCCACAGAGAAATACTTCTACGTCACTTTTGACTTCGTGAGGCAAACGTCTGCTCGCATGCTATGGCCTCACTCAGCACTGGCACTTCAGGCTCTGGTTCCCATCACCTATGGTATCTCCATCCTCATAGCTCACTACTATTTATATCCTGGCATTTGAGCCATGCATATTTCAAAGAGTAAGAAGAAGCACTGTGGATACAGGCTGTCTCTGCAAGAGCTGAGGATGGCTGGGCCCGATCAGCTCTGCTTTTCTACAGAGGGCTGCTGGCAAGAACATGTCTTGCCAGTCAGACAGGTGGAAGGAATCAGACACATATATTAGCTACTTTTGCTACAAGGTAATATTGAAATTAAGAGCCTGAAATATAAGAAGTCTAAGCAGATACTTGTCATCATAAGAAAACTGAGAGAGATTCCGCTGCATCCAGGAAAGGCAGAGTTCTGTGGTCTTGGTCTCAGCCACTGTACTCCTTGGCTACACCGGAGCAAGGAGAGCTCTGCATCTCAGGAACAGTGGCCCAGGGCCCTGTTGTTGCTCATAGATGCTCTCTGAGGAGTATTTTTCAGTGTGCTGACTTATCTTTGGAAGCAATGCCCAACAGGAGTCAGCCACCACCCCTAAGCAAGCAGTGCTGGCCACAGAGGTCTGTCTGCTCCTGCAGAGCTTGTTTTCAATGTATCATTTGCAAACTTTTAAAAAATTGAAATATTTGATGTAAAGTTTGTATTTTTGGTAGACACTCTGAAAACAGGGAGCTGGGCCATTAGTACCTGCCTTTCCTCAGGGAGCAGTGAGTGGAGGTGCAGGCGGCTGCCCCTTAGGACCCCAGCAGCACTTGACCCCAAGCTCCATCTTCTAGGTTATCTGGATTTTCACTGAAAAGAGCAGACCTTGCAGCCATGAGCTCACATACTCAGACGTGGCAGTCCAGGTCCTCAGAGCCAGCCCTCAGCACGTGCTGTCTCTGAATCTGGAAGGGCCCTAAGGCCAGAGTGCTGTTTTCCAGATGGGGACATGGGGGGCAGGGAAGGCAGAGATGCCTGTCTCTAACAGTTAGAGCCATTATGTTTGGCACGGGAGCAGCTAGCTGTCCGCGGCCCAAATGGCAATTTGATGGTAAGTGCAAAAAGCATACCAGGCTTCTAAGACTTAGTATGAAAAATGTAAAAGTAATAATTTTAATGTTGATTATAAATCAAAATGATAAGCAAGCAGACAAATTTGGGCAAATATATTATTAAAGTAATCTTACAGGCCGGGGATTTAACTCAGTGACACCCCGCCTGCCTCACAAGCACAAGATCCTGAGTTTGATCCCCAGTACCGGGAAAAAAAAAAGTAATTTCACATTTCTTTGTATTATTTTAATATGGCTGCTAGAAAATCCCAGTTACCTACAGGGCTCCCATTCTGTTCCAACAGACAGGATGCCAGGCTGTCATGACAGAACCTCACCTTAATTCTAATCCTGTTCTTGAAGAGGATAAATGATGGCACAAGTAGAGCAAAGAGAGCTTACAGGCAAAAGGCTGTGGGTAAACTGGACCCAGAGCCTCCACAGCATGAGCCTGTGCCGTGGGACACCCAGCAGCCCTCTGCACCCTCAGAGCCCATTCGCAGGTCTACAGTATTCACAATAGGTCTGTCTGCAGGAAAATAGAAGTCCATTTTCCTGTTTGCTTTCTGGTGAACAGGAATAAGAATCATTGTGACAAGGCTAACATTTTAAAGTTCAAGAATTCAGATAAATGCTCCTTCTATGGAAAAGTGTAACTGTGCTTGCAAAGCGTAACAAATCCTTGAAATTATGTCACAGCTATTGCCGCTTCCTCAGTCACAGAAACCATCACTGCTAAGGATTAAGGGTTTGTTTGGGTTTTTTTGGTACCGGGGATACTTGGGACCTTGTGCTTGCAAGGCAGGAGACCCCACTGACACAATCTGCATGAATTTTGCCATTGGTTCAATGAAACTCTGGAAAGTGGACCTGTCTTTAAGACATACACACCCTCACCCTCGGGCAGGAGGGGGGCTTCGAGATTCGAGATGCAGTAGTCAGACATTCACTGTTTACCACGAACACAGGCTGACTCCCATCACCACCTACCTTTGTGCTTTTCTGTTTGAGTGCTTAGAAGCTCTGAACATTTCGTCTCTTCCTCCTGTATTTCCAGATGAAATCGGCATTCTGGGTGAATGCTGTTCACCTGTTCAAGGTTATAAGAAATAGAAGTAACTATGAATTGCATAAGAGGTAAGTCAAGAAAAAGTTCTACAAAAGAATCCAAAACCTCACAGTCTCATAGTTCTAAGCCGTTCCCAAACTGAAATTCATTTAGAAGCCATCATCTTCATTTTTCTGGCAAGGTTATTTATAAAACCCTTGCTATTTATTTTGTAAATGTTTCATAAAACAAATATAAAACCCAATGAAGTTTTGGGTTTTTTTTTGGTACCGGGGATTGAACTCGGGACCTTGTGCTTGCGACACAGGCAGTGTTTTTTTTTTTTTCTGAGCAGGAAAATAAACTAGCAGGACAGATTGTGTGTTATTAGTACTAATTTCAAGGCCATAGAGCCCTTTAAACCAATACTGTCAATAGTCAAGTCTTTCACTTCACAGCCCTTGATTTGATTAAAGCAAATCCACATTTCCTTGTAGAACCACTCTTGGTGATGCCAGTTTGGTTTTCTGGAGGGCTTCTCCATGCCTACTGCAAAGCCGTCATAGGATGACTAGGTTTTTAAAGGCCTCAGGACATGTTCAAAACTTAACCCTATGAACGAAGATAAAACTGGAACCAGTTTTTTACTGACTTTGGTGTGAAAGAGCTTTCAGAAAGATTAAAGAGATGAGAAGGGAGACAGAGACCATTGAGGGGTCTACAGAGGCAACAAAAGTTGTCACTGGCGGTGTTTACTGACACGTAAAGGACAGTGCCACCTGAGGTTCCAGTCTCAGATGATGACATACTCTGCAGCTTTCTCCTCCCTCTGCCAGCCTCAGCAAGGGCCCACGCTGCTGGCCCAGCGACCCTGGCTGCTCACGAGCTTGTTTCTGCCTGCCTGTCTGAATCTCCCCCACCCGTACCAACTTTTACTAAAATAGTAACCGAAGAAAACCACGCTCTCGGCAATATCATGCCCATCTACGTTTAATTACTCCAATACTGACACAGTCTAGACCGAATCCCAACCAGGAACACATTTCCCTAGCAGAATTAAAAGAAACTTAATGCGTATACTTCTGCCACATCTATCCCACCACAAAAAAACTCAGAGGTTTCTTTAGTTTTACTGGCTTATTATTTATTACACAACCTCCAAAGGCAGATTCCTGGTTTCAATCACGCTGTGCTTTGCATATACGAACAAGCCAAAGGTCTAAATTTCGGAATTAAGGAAATTGTGTCGATTTAAAAGGGAAAATATTAGGATGTTAAAAGCACAACACACACTATCTGACACTGCTGGCCTGGGAATCCCACTGATTAGAGGGCCTGGGCCGGCAATTCCTGACACTGCTCAGCCAGGCGGGGCTCTGATCTCGCGGCGCGGCCGAGGATCCCAGCCCGGGGATGGCGGTGCCCACAGCTTCCCGCACTCAAACGCGGCCTGTGAAAACTAGCCCGGAGAGCGGACACGAGGTTACCACCTCCCCAAAAAGGTTTTCAAACGAAGGGAAGAATTCCTGAGAACTACACGGCAAACTTGTGTTCGGTTTAACATTTCCCTCGTTAGACTCCTGAAATAGACAGAACGGTTCCCATAGGAAACTTCCCTGCGGGCCCCGGCCCCTCGGCACGCGCCGTGACAAGGACCAGGTGGCCAAGCACTCGACGACCGGCGGCGGGGCCGGGGTGGCGGGAACCCGAACCCGAAGCGACCCAAGCCCCAATCCAAGCCCGAACCCGACCTGACCCGAACCCTAACCAGAGCCAGAACCCGAATCCGATCCGACCCTAACCAGAGCAGGAACCCGACCCAAATTCGACTGGACCCGAACCCTAACTCAAGCCCGAGCCCGACCCGATCTGAACCAAAGCCCAATACAAGTCCAAACCCGAACCCGAACCGAACTCGCCGCACGGACAGCGGGTCTGGGGTCCAGGTCCCCTCTGCGCCTCTCGGGAAGCGCACGGGCATGGGGGTCGTAGGCACTCACGGGGACCAGCAGCCAGCAGCAGCAGCAGCAGCAGCAGCAGGTCAGTAGTGCGGGCGCCCTCATCCTGGGAGCAACACCGCCTAGTCTGCAGCGCCGGAGGCTGCGCCCGCGCTGCTCCGACTCCCAGGCTGGGCTGTGGGCGGGGCACAGGGAGCTCCCGCCCACAACCCCGCCCCACCCGGACTCCCCCGCCCCCAGCCAGACCCGGACCCGCCCCCACCCGGACTACGCTCCGCCTTAC